TAATGTACTAGAGGTTCTGACAAAATGTTAATTGCTGCAGTCTATTTTTTTTAAATATGAATTATTGCAAAATCTGCACCTCTTCTGTGGCTATTTTTAATTTCATAATGATTCTTACTCCGTGAAGTCAAGCAGCAGAAGTTAAGTGACAATATGCAAATACTACTGGCCCATTTTGGGGTGAACTAAATATACAAGACTGGTTTTACACGTCACTGTTTATAACACATGGTGTTCATCCTTTGCTGGGTCGCTTTAAAAAATTGGGGCATAAATTAAGAGTATACCCACTTCTCCAGGCACCACTACACCACTGGTTTGACACGTGTACAAGCACCCCCACCACCTTACTCCAGTTAAACACCACATTTTAACTGCAATGATACAAATATATCACTGTATACAGGGCTTGACATTAACTTTTTTTGCTCACCAGCCACTGTGGCTAGTGGTTTTAAAAAAATTACTAGCCACTCAGCATTTTAACTGGCCACAATTTTGTCGTTGGAAAATTATGTTTTATAGGACTAAAGTTACTGCATATTAAAATTTATTTAAATTGATTTCCAGGTCATTTTTTGCCTATTTAAAGGGCATTTTCATTTTTACTTAATATAATAAGACACTATAGGGCTGTTACCAATCAAATATAATCAGTATTACCAAAACTGATCTTTCTCCTGCAGAAGAAACAGAAGCAGCTGAAGTGGCATTTAGATGCATTTACACAGACAGTTTAATGAAGCTGAAATGTAGCATGAATGCAGTTACACTGCAGAATTACAACAGCATAAATAATGTTATGAGTTTGGTGTTTTAAAGTCAGTTTTTATTAAATATACAAATATGAAATGTTGGAAAAATGCAAATATAAGCTACTTTTAAACATGAAAGTAAACCGCCAGTAGGTGGAATCAAGTGACTGTCTTAATGTGTGAGTCATTGAGGCGTTCATTCAAACGATTCTTTCAGATGGTTGATTCATTCACGAATGAAGCAAGTGCCTCTCTTTATGAATGGACCACTGAATTTTTGGCTCAAATTATCAATTCAAAAACGTTGAATCATTCAGTAACGAAACACCGCTGTGTGTTGTTGCTCAGAGATACGCGACTGTTCTGCTGTGATCTTTGTTTGGAACTATTTTCGTTAACCAAATCAAGCAAAAACAGTCAACATTGACAACATTGTATTATAATGTAAGTCACTTAATGTCAAGCCCTGACTGTATATGAGAAAACATCAACATTTCAGTTATAAATAAAAAAAGAATATTACTTACTACCCTTTTTAGTGAGATGGATGGGCCTGCATGTTTACACACAGATCATCAAAATCATTCTCTCGCGCACCCCAGTTTGGGAACCGCTGCTATAGCAGTATATAAATAACTGTTTTCAACACTGAAAATAAGAAATGTTTCTTGAACACCAAATTAGTATATTAGAATGATTTGACTGCTGAAAATTAATTTTTGCTGTCACGGGAATAAATTATATCTTAAAATATATTAAAATGGAAAACTGTTATTTTAAATTGTACTGTTATATTAAACTGTTTTATGGTATTTTTGATTAAATAGATGCAGCCTTGGTGAGCATAAGAAAATTCTTTGAAAAACATTAAATAAAGTGAAGTTTCCAGATGTAGCACTGCATGTTTTCATCCACTAAACTCTGTCAGGAGAGCGTGCTTTTATTACCTTCAATTTTTGACTATCCGGCAGCCTGTCAGCCTGGGAATATTTTTGGATATAACAGAATTTAAAAAGTAGTGGATATATGCAGGGATAAGTATGATTTGTATTAGGGCTGCACGATATTGGGAAAAACTCACATTGCGATTTTTTATTTCTTCTGCAATATATAATTGCGATATGGAAAAAAAATCAGATGACTTCAATAGCTCTATATTTGGGGAAAAAATAATCAATGATTGGGGTGATTTTGTAGGCGAGTAAATCAGCATAGGAAATAAACAAATTACAAGCATAGATAAATAACAGAACAAAGATACAAATGAAATAAGCAGTGATTTATATTTTTCAGTTAAGTCTAACAGTATTCAGGTACAGAAATTTAATAATCAAATGTAAAATAGCACTGCATAGTTTTCACTATAAATTAAATCTAACAAATCTACAAAAGTGATTTTTCTTTGTGTTTTGTTGTTTGATTAACGTTCATGAACAGAGAAAACAACAAGAACATTAAACTGCTGTGAACCAATAT